CACAAGAGGGAAATAGTCAACACCTTCTGACAAGATGGAGGAACTGAAGGCTCAAAGTGTCTGAGAGCCAGGCTATTTATGTTCCCTAACCTGGCTGGAGGTTTCCAGATCCAAGCTGGTCACCTTGATGTATGACTACATAGCAATTTCCCATTATCCTGTTTTAGTACTATCACTCAAGTCTGGAGACAAACGGTCTGACTTGGCCTTATAATCCAGGGGTATTGTGACATGGAAGTTTGCTCTGTATGGCCCTTTTTTAGGGATTCTTTCAGTCAGAGGCTTACAAAAGCTCACATGGTCTATTTTGAGATCTAACTACTCCAACAGGGACAGTGCATCTCATCTGACATCCAGAAGAGAAGGGACAAGGATGGAAGGATGGAAGGAATGCAGCTCTGTACATTCTGGTACAGTTGATTCAATTCCTTGCTGTTCTAGTGCATTTCAGCCTTATTTTCTGGTTCTGACCCAGCTCCTGAACCTGGCTTACTCTTAGTCTTTTCTGATTCCCCTGTCACCTTACCCCAACTATCCTGGCTCAGGTGTCTCCCCATAGGCATAACTACACTCCTACAATCCTTCCTTAGGTACAAACTTTACTCCCTTCTTTGTGTGCATAAGATGCAGTATGAATTCAGTAAACATTAAATGAACACATAAAATATTACATGTAAACCTGGGTTTTTATGCCTTTGTCCTGTGCTGTTTACCCCACTTAAGATGATGATAAGAAATTTCAACTGGGTTCCCAGGTTTTAACCCATTATCCCAGCTACATGGAAGGCAGAGATCAGGGGATCAAGATTTGAAGCCAGCCTAAGCAGAACAGTTTCCCGACGCCATCTCAATTGCTGTTTGGTAAGGTGGCTCACGCCTGTTGTCCCAGCTGCAGGGGAAGCATATTGACTGGGCACAGTGGTGCCAGTCATCCCCAGCAACACAGGGAAGCACAAGTGGAGGACTGCAGGTCATACCAACCCAGGCATAAAAGTGAGGCCCTGTCCATTTATCTACTGAACTATGGCTTCTAGGGATTCATCAGCTCCATGTATTAATAATGCATTTATGATGTTGACTCCTAAGGTGGATGTCATCAAATTAGGGAGACAACTAGCAAAATCAAAGTAAATCTTTGCCATCACAAAAACAAGTCGCAAAGTTTAATTCCAATATTGAAGGACGCCATCTAGTGGAAAATATATTTCATCTTCCCTTTCGGAGCTAGATTCCCACATTTCAGTGCCCTAAAATCTGATATGTTTTGGAACTTTGTTAAAATATAATGACTCTTCCTCTGCCTGCTGTTTCTAATTCATTTTATATGCATGGTAGCCTAAAACTGTGTCCTCATAATATTCATAGTGGAAAGTACAAAAACTATAAAAACTATCAGTGGCTCACCTGCAATACCAACTACTTCACCTGGTAGAAAGTTGATAAGATTGCATCTCAAACAAACAAGCTAGTCATAGTGGTACATGCCTACTACATGTACAGCTACAACTTTGGCTAAAACTTGAAGTTTGTGTGGGGTCCTGGTTCATTACCAGGGCAGGGTAGGGCATGGGGCATAGGGCCCTGGGTCCTCGCAAGTCCTGAGTGCAGTGGGAATGAGTAGTGAGGTGCTTGCTAAGCTACTTGTGTGATGGTGCTCTTTGGTGGCCTAGAGGCTCCCTTCCTGGGCTCAGAGGAGGGACATCAGTGAAGGGAACTCTGTCCTCAGACTCAAAACTCATTGAGACACAACCTGCACCCTCCACAAATGCAGCATCAGTTTTGTCAGAGGCAGTGGGCTTCTGTGAGGTCCTTTGGGCATGAGTATGCAGGAGGTGGCTCCTGGGAGCTACAAAAGTACCAGGAAGAGGCAGGACCCCATCCATCAGAGCCTGTGAAGGAGGGGGCTGGGGCCAGCCTGGCTCCCTCCTCCCTGAAGGGTCTCCAGCTCAACTGGAGGAAGAGGGACAGATCATCCTGGCTAACAAGCCTCTATGGAGCCAGGCAGGGTCCAGGAGAGCTGCCTAACAGCCTCAGAACTGGAGGGGAGGTTTAATTGGAGTTCTGTCTTTATCTTTCAGACAGAGTATCAGAGTGAGGCATAAATAAGAGAGTCATGATCTGAGGCCCAAATCAGGTGAAAAGTGAGAGACCTTATCTGGAAAATAATCTACGGCAAAAAAAGAACTGGAAGTGTGACTCAAGAGGTAGAGCATTCTTGCAGCAAGTGCCAGGCCCTCAATTCAAATCTCAGAAAAAAACAAACAAATGGAGGTACACAGGTCTTTCCATTTTCATCAGAATGTTCACTAACTTCACCACAAGAAGTAATTAGGCTGCTGGTAACATTCTTTCGGTGGGCAGCCTGTGCCAGTCATGTTACCTGCTCTACTTGTATTCTTTTACTTTAAGCCACTTACAAACTGTGAAGGAATTTTATTATTATCCTATCTCACATGTAAGAAGGTTGAGGCAGAGGGCTAGACACCCCCAAGGTCACATAGCTAATAATGTAACTGGGCCCATAACTGACAGAGTGACAGGAAAGGTCACAAGTCTTGCCCTTGATAAAAATCAACTGGCTTCAGAAAGGTCATGACAGCCCACCTGCATTCAGTTTAGTCTACAACATGCAGAAACCAGTTGTATACCAGAATTACCAAGGGCTAATAGGGACATTTGACAACTTAATATGCACATGATTTGGACTAACATAGACATAGACACACACATATTCACACTGCTGCCCTTTAAATATGTTATTGACTTGTAGTGTTATGAATTCAAGGTCACTTTCAATACTTTGATGTCTCTCTTCATTCTTCCCCCAAACTCATGCAAAGTAAAACGATCTATCTCAAACATCCATGGGTGAGGCAAGCTGAAACTAATTTATTTATGAGTGGTTAGAAAAGCTCACTGATAGGGATCTGTCAGCCAGGCTAGGCTCCTCAAGCTTGCTCTAAGCCTGGGGGTGGAGGAGTTGCTCCTACCCAACAGGACCCAAAGGCCAAAGTCATCCATCCTGGCAGAGGTCAAACTGTCTCACCACATCTTGCTGAAATAGATCTGCCTCTACTCCGTTCCCTCCCCTAGGCCCAGAGTATCAATAACTTCTGCTGAAAATTTAATTCCCACTACTGCCCACTTAGAAACTGAAGGTAACATTGGCACTTTCTAGTAGCACCCTCTAGAAGGCATTTCCCTAACCTCTGCCCTGTGTCTGCTTTAATAAAAGAAGTTCTATAAAGGATTTCTTGGTAGCAAAAATAGGGCTTGGCAACCTAAGACTTTGATTATCTCTTAAATATCTGTGTACCCAGAAGAGATTGTCTTTTTTAGTAATCTATAAACTCCCTTAGCCTTTAAAAATCTGTTGAGTTTTACAAGAGGCATTAAATAATGTAATGGGCTTTTGGAATGAAATAAAAATTTCAGTGCATTTTTACATTGCTAATAGAAGAGGAACTTGAAAAAATATAAACTTCTATCTGTAAACTCTTAAATCCCATCTTTAACCCCCAAGAACTCGTAACTGAACTGATGAAGCCCAGTGATCTGTACATCAGATTTTATGCCAGGTGTGGTGCTTCAAGTCTGTAATCCCAGCAATAGGGAAGTGAAGGCAGGAAGATTTGGAGTTAAAGTCAGCCTAGCTACACTACATGATCCTATCTTAAGGGGGTGGGGGGGACAAACAAAAAAAATTCAAGTAAATATTCAACTTAACAAAGGGAAAATGGATGACTAACAAAAGAATTTTCAGAGCTGAGTGGTTCCTGTGGATCACACCTGAAATCCTGGCTACTAAGGAGGTTGAGATCAGAGGGCTTGAGGTTTGAAGCTGGGCTAGATGGAAAAAAGTCCAGGAGACTCCAATTAACCAGTATGTGTATGTATGTATGTATATATATATACACATACATATCAGTATATATATATCTCAGTATATATATATCTCAGTATATATATAGTTACATAGATAGATAGATAGATAGATAGATAGATAGATAGATAGATAGATAGATAGATAGATAGATAGATAGATAGAAGGGCTGGAGGTGTGGCTCAAATGGTAGAAAGCCCATGAGCTGTGAGGCTCTGGAAAAAAGCAGAACCGGGAAGACTCGATGAGACAATGCGAATAGATCAAGCGGTTGAGCATTACTTGGCGCCCTGCACGTTTCTGAACCCCCCACGCACCCCGCACTGCCACAGCTGAGCCCTCACTGAGGGGAATTCTTTTCAGCAGTCAATTATTAACCTGTCGTGCAGATAAGGAAGCCGGCCCAGGGTCGCCCAGACCCGGGTTCTCATCCATCTTACACCGCTGTGAAAAACCCCGACGCGACGCGGCAGAGGCCCGCAGGCTGGGGGCCGGCGGACCACGCGGCCCAGCGCGCATGCGCGCACGCGGCCCTGCCGCCCCAGGCTCCCGGTGAGGCCCGTGGGCTTTGTGAACTCACAATCCGGGTCCCGGGAGGGGAGCCGCCCCTCCCCCACCCTCCGAGGGTGAGAGCCTCGCTTTGCAAGTTCTTAAATCCTCCATAAATGTGGGGTGGGGGAAAGTGGAGAAACTATGATTTACGGTACACCCCGACGGGACTGGCTGCCTCCTCCCGGAGTTGGACGCGGCGGCCACGGGCCTCCAGAGCGGCCCGACACTGGGAACTCTCTGGCGTGGTCTGTAATTTCGAACCCGGGATGGGCGCACGGCAATGCTTTCCCCGTGGGCAAAGCCGTCGGGTCAAACGCCTCCTCGGAACCCAGTCGGCAGAGTGGCCAGTTCCCAGCAGAACGGCGTTTTGCGTAACGCCGGCGGGCGGGGCCTAGCCGACTAGGAGTGAGGGGAGCGGCGCGTGCACGCGCACGGCAGACGCGGCGCGGTGTGACCGGAGCGACGCGCACGCGCACGGCAGACGCGGCGCGGTGTGGACAGCGGCGCGCGCACGCGCACGGCAGACGCGGCGCGGTGTGTGGACAGCGGCGCGCGGACGCGCACGGCAGACGGCGGCGGAGCCGGCGGCGGGCGCGGACCATGCTGAGCGCAGCGCGCAGTACGCTCGCCTCAGCGCTGCGCGGGCCGTGCGTGTGGTTCCTGCGCGCCACCGGGTCGCAGTCCTCGGCGGGTCGGGGCGAGCGGCCGGAGGAGCTGGCCCGAGCCTTCAACCCGTCGCTGCTGGAGTTCCTGGTGTGTCCTCTCTCCAAGAAGCCGCTCCGGTGAGACTCGCGGGCCTCGGCCGTTCTCGGCGCCGGGTGCGGCTCCCGCGCTGCCATTTCCGGGACGCGGCCCGGCGGGCGGGCGGGTTGCGGCCCGGCGGCGGCGGGAGGCCGCCGGGATCAAGTCACCGGGCCCATAAACAGGTTCAGACGTTTTGGGGGGTTCGCCCCCGTTGGCTCCCCTTGTCAGGCACCCGGGGCCTTGTTTTAAGATGTCAGTTCCGACACCGAGGTGGTGGCCCCTCTGTCATCCCAGCCGCGGGAGAGGCGGAGATTGGGAGGATCGCGGTGAGAGGCCAGCTTGCCCAGCCAGGCGACGCCGGTCTCGAACGTGACCGGAGCAGAAGTATCCGGGACGTGGTTCAAATGATAGGGCACCTGGTTTTGCAACGTTGAGCTCAAAGCGCGAGCCATCCGCCTCCCTCCCCCCCGGAATAAAATGCCCACCCGGGCACCGAGCCCCCATCCTGGCTCCTGGGCGCACGGTACCGGCGACTGCGGGCCAGGCCGTGACTTTGGTATTTCCTTAAAACGCCTGAGCGGCTGTGTGAGCACAGGGCCGGGCCACAGCGTGCACGTTTTTGAGCCCAGGTGGTAGGAAACGAGGCTAAGCCTTTGCCCATTGGCTCCCAGTTGCAGGCCCGCTGGCTCTTGTAAACGCTGCTTTGACCCTTTTGCCTACTTGTTGGGCACACAGCGGGTTCCAGACTACTGAAACTGGGTTATCAGCACCACTAGAATAATCCACCGTGTCTACAGCGAAGATTATCATTGGCTATCTTTGGGTAGTGGATTGCTGGCCGCCTCCACTCTGAGAGCCAGTTTCCTTCAAGATGTCATTGCCATTTGGATTCACCTTCTAACTAATCGTGTAACTCGTCCAGACCCACCGCGTTCCCAGAGATGCCCCATCTCCGCGCTCATCTTTCTTAAGCCTGTATTGTGCATGTGTGGTTTCCCTCTGCTGAGTTCCGAGTCTATCTATTTAGTATTTAGCCTTACTTTAAAAGGAGTTTGAGGAATTTTTCTTTAGGTTTTGTTCTAGGAGTAACTGGAGTGGATTTGTGGTTGAATGAAGTTACAAATATTTAGGTAAAGAGAGGAGAAATCTTTTCTGCCTGGTATAAAAAAATACATTTAAGGTATAGCTTGGGAGTAAAATAAAAGAGATTACTTTACACCTGTAATCTTGGCTACTTAGGATGAGTTCTGCCAGCCTGGGCAGACAAATGTGAGAGATTCTTATTTCCAATAACCAACAAAAAGCAGTAAGTGGAGCTGTGGTTCAAGTGATAGAATGCAGAAGCTAAGAGAATAAGGCCCTGCGTTCAAGCCCCAGTATCAACACACACAATAACTAAAAAATACTAATAGAAACAATTACAATTTCTAAGACTTTTTGGAGAGAAATGTATGAATTCATTATTGCTTTTGGAATTAAGAAAAGAGTAACTGAAGAATTAGATAAGGTGGTGTTATTTATTGACCAATTAATTTTTTTTCTCCAATTCATTTTGGTTTTTCCCTCACTTAGATATGAAGCATCAACAAACGAATTGATTAATGAAGACTTGGGAATAGCCTATCCAATCATTGATGGGATTCCGAATATGATACCCCAGGCAGCCAGAACAACACGTGAACATAAGAAGCAAGAAGAAATGGAGCAGCACTAAGATGATAATTTAAAAACAAAAACACGTATAACACTCCCCTAAATGTTCTAAATACACCTTTTAAAACAGGGTGTCAGGCTAGGGGGGGAGAATGTTTGTGTCTCTGCCCACCCTGACTGTTCTTATCCCACTAATCTCTTTAGTAGGACTATTCTACTCTGCGTCTGTAGAAGACGACTTCCCTCATGGCTGCACCAGCACAGCCAGTCTCTGCTTTTACAGTCTGCTCTTGCCCATCACCATACCAGTGTATGTGTTTTTCCACCTTTGGACCTGGATGGGCATTAAACTCTTCAGGCATAATTAGTGCAACCAGCCAAGAGTGGGGATATTGATAGGTCTTATGTATCCAGCTCTGGAAATACTGGAGACCCATTTGGTTTGAGAGAAAGTTGCTTTGCTTTCTCTCAGGCTTAGGACTCTAGAAAGCTTACTAGGCCACAGCTTCTTTGTACTTCAGTTTTGCCCTTGTGTTTGAAGATTCTGACTGTATAAAGAAACATTTCAGCAGAATGCCCTGATGGAGAGTAACACTGCCAGTTGTCACCTAATGGCGCACATAAGTCACTTGGAGTTTTAACTTCGAGGTGCATAATAATGCCATCTATTGGAGCTGTACTGTAGTACTGTACTGTAGAGAAATAAATTAGAACTAGTGTGACATAAAATTAAGAACTGTGAAGCTCATATAGAATCTGAGTTTGTAAAATTACCTGTATTTCTTTGGTATCAAATGCTTACTAATAAACTGTTAAATTTTTGCCCATGAAAAGCTCTTTGTGAAAAGTTTGGGGGTTTTGTCACAAGAGTATGAGCCTAAACTAGGAAAATTGTGAAAAGTACTCTAAATGAAAAATATGTGCCATGTTTATAGAGACCCTGAATGCACATACAGCCATTTCCCAGGAAATCATAGCTTTGGTAGGTAAAGTAGGGTAGGACAGGTAGAAGCTGATTTGGGGGTAGGCTGTGTGTGTGCATGTTGGTGGCAGCATAATTTATTCGTAATAGCCCTCATAAAATGGTAACCCCAAAGTCCCATCGATGGTGGATGAAATATGCCATACAGCAACAAAATGCTACTGGACAATATGAAGGAATGACTAAGAGATGCTACAACAAATGCTAAGGGGGAAAAACCCAAAAGAAACTGTTCAATGGTGGGGGCGCAGGACAGGTTGATTGGGACATTTGTTTCCATATAGAAATGTCACAATGAAACTTCCTCACAGAACTAATGTGTGGTAATAAAACTATATATAGATGAGAGCCCCTGGCTTATGGCCTATAATCCTAGCTACATGAGAGTCAGATCTGAGCATCATGGTTCGAAGCCAGCCTGGGCAGGGAAGAGTATGAGACTTAATCACCAAAAAAGCTAGAAGTGGAGCTGTGGCTCAAGTGGGAGTGCAGTAGCCTTGAGCGAAAAAGCTCAGGGGCAGCACCCAAGCCCTGAGTTCAAGCTCCAGGACTGGCACAAATTAAAGGGGGAAAACTATAAGGACATGAAATGTCCTTAACAGGGAAATCCTGTTCATTAAAACCTGTTAATGTATTCATATAAAGGCATAAATATATTAATGGTTATCTAGGTGCCAGAGGTTAAGGATAATGTGGAGCTAAAGAGTACAGGGCTTCTTTTTGTGGGTATGTTCTAACATTGTATGCTAACATGATTCTAGGAATATACTAAAAGCCAGAGTTGTACAATTTACAGGACCAAGGCACAGTTGTGCCTGTACCCATGTGAGATGCATCCCAGGGCCCACACTGGATTCCTAACACTTGTGGACAGTCCTAAACTTCAGCAGAGATAGGGTATACTATCCACTTTCTGGTCTATATGCACCTAATAGCTTGTGAATTAGGCACAGTAACAGAACAATTACAAATAAAATGCAACAATTTTAACATTACATGTAATGAAATTTATACAAATGTGGTCTCTAAAGAGTCAATGACTAATATTTCTGTGCCACTGTTCACAACAGGCAACAAAACCATAGGAACCGAAAACACAGATGATAGACCACTTGTGTTCCACTTTTGACCATACTCTAGTCAGCAGGCAAGTCTTGGGCTTTTTTCCTCAAGTTTTATTGAGTTATAATCGGCATATTCAGTGATCGCCTATCTCTTAAATTTTCACCACCACGTATCTGTTTGCCTTGACACTTTTAAGGTATCCAGTAATCCTGGGTTTTGATGTTCTTCCAAGTTCTAAGCCATCCTGGCTCACTGGTTCCACTACCTCCAATTGATGCGGAGGCCCCCATGAGGAACACTTTCTTATTCCACCATGGAGGCTGACTTTACAAGGCCAGGGACCCTGGCTTCTTGAGCCTCAGAACACACTTCTAAGCATCCTTACCAGTGTGACTGCAAGTGATTATCTCAGTCACCCTAATAAGATCCTTCTGCTCTGTGAGAACTTCCCAACTGGGGGAACAAAAGAGAACCCCTCATACCTATTCTTACTCCTCACCTTCAATCTCACAAAGGGGGCTTTCAGGGCTGGGAATGTGACTCGGTGGTAGAGTGCTTGCCTTGGATGCATGAAGCCATGGGTTTGATTCCTCAGTACCACATAAACAGAAAAAAGCCTGAAGTGGTGCTGTGGCTCAAGTGGTAGATCACTAGCCATGTGCCAAAGAAGCTTAGAGACAGTGCCCAGATTGAGTTCAAGCCCCTTGACAGACAAAAAAACAACACCAAAACAAAAAAGGGGGGCTTTCAGTCTAATAGGAAATGAGGCCTACTTCAGAGGAGTTTTAAGTGATGCCAAAAATATGAAATTAGCATAGTTAAGTCTTGTCTTACTGCTTTCCAGTGAGAGATGCCTGTCCCCTTGCCCAAGTTTTATAAAATTGACCATTAGTGAAATTTGAAAGAAATTTGAAGGAGGTTGTCCTAGAGACCACTAGATGGCACTTAGGGCTTGCTTATCAGTCCAGACAAAAACCAAGGGATCAAAAGGGAGCCAAACATTTTTCCATTGAGCTCAGTAAATACACTGTAAAACATACAAACCAACCATAAGCATATATACATAGTGCATAAAAAAAATCTACATATGGATATAGCTATTTCTCGCAGGTAAATTCAAAGGAATGGAATAACTGGTTCAGATAGTTGGGATAGTATCTTTCTTCGACAACTGTCAGATTTCAGTGTACAGTTGTTTTTAAGATACTAAGATCGCTGTATCGTGGCGCACACACAATTCCAGCCCTGAGGAGGCAGAGGCAGGAGAACCACAAGTTCAAAACCAGATTGAGCTACATCACAAATGCAAGGCAAACCTGAGATATATAAGGAAACTCTCAGAAGTTATCTGGAGGCAGCTCAGTGGCAGAGTGCATGTCTAGCATGCCTGAGGTGCAAAGCTCTATCTCATCAACACACACACAGCTGGATATGCAAGCCCAGCATGGAAGATCAAGAGTTCCAGACCAGGGCTGGGAAGGTGGCTCAGTGGTAGAGCGCTTGCCTTGCATGCCTGAGAACCTGGGTTCGATTCCTCAGCACCACATGAGCAAAAAGAAAAAAGCCGGAAGTGGCGCTATGGCTCAAGTGGTAGAGTGCTAGCCTTGAGCTGAAGAGCTGAGGGACAGCGCCCAGGCCCAGAGTTCAGGCCCCACGACCGGACCCCCCCCCAAAAAAAAAAAAAAAAGAGTTCCAGACCAGTCTTGAGGTTTATTAGCAAAAAAAAAAAATCTGAGAAGCCAAATAAATGGTCTCCATTTAGGCCAAAGAAGGCAAATATTTGTATAGGAAATTTATAGAAATATGTAGTATATATTCATAAAATATACAAAATATGTAAAAATATAGAAAATATTTGTTTCATAACCTTACACTTACTAAACAATTCAAACTGCAGATAAACACACTATGTTAAGACTTACATGTTAACTTTCAATTTAATTTTATTAGAAACCAGAGTAAGTATGGTAGAAGGTCAGCCAAAGCCTCTGTTGTTGTTGATGGCTATCTGAAGTGCTTCTTCTACTCTTTCCATGGTAGAATACTTAGGGAGGTAGAGAAGACTAAAGCATGTTTGGGCTCTCATGGGATCTTTTTCATCCAAACTCTCAGGACAACAAAATGTTATTTTCATATCTTTTAAGTCTTTCCTTTGTAATCTGTCAGTTCCTGTAAGGAATACTGAAAAGAAGAATAAAAGTTATCTTTTTCACAAGGTAGATAAATCTGTTCGTGTCTAACTTTCTTGAAGGCCTTTCTTGAAGTCAACAGTGCACTTAGGGTTGCTTTAGGACAACCTCAGTCAGTGGCCTCAAGCAGCCTGAAGTCTGGGTGAAGAATGAGTAGGACCTCTTATCCACAGATGTTCTGTTCCAAGATCCCAATGGATCTCAAAATGTAGAAGACAACACCAAACTCCACCTATACACTGCTTTCTCAAACACATGCATATAGCTAGGGTAAACATCACTTTCCACTTCAGGAAGCACGGGTGGCTTCTTGGCTGGATTGCCAGCACCACCACTCCTGCCCTTTGGGGCAATAATTATGCAAAATAAGAATTATTTGAAAACAAGCCCTATGATACCTCCATGATCAATCTTAACAGTGAGCTAGCCACAAGGCAACTAGTGAGCAGGTGGTGTGCACAGCCTAGTCATGCTAACAGGATGATTCATACCACGGGTAGAACAGAATGGGATGGCACAAGACTTTATCACACTTTTTAAGAACAGCACAGGCCCAGAGAGACACCAGGACAAGTTTCCTCTCATGTGGAACAATTTATAAATGTGTAAGGAAATGTGGAGTTGTATGCAAATGCACAAAAATGTATTAATGGAAATATGGTATTTCCTCAGAAAAACTCAACCCAATTAAATAAGCACTAGGCAGTTGGTACTTGGAAAGTATAGAGGAGAAGATTAATTCTTCAAGAGGAGATTCTTCAAGAGGAGATTAATTAAAGAGGAAGGAGGAACAATACAGTCATGATATTCAATCTTCATTCTATGAAATTTAAAAAATTGAAGGGTTGAATAGGGAAAAAGGATTCTAGAAGGGGTGACATCAATCAAGATGCATTATATTCATAAACTGATTTGTTGAATGGCAACTACTTTGTACAAATACATACATATATATATATATATATAATATTTAAAGTTGTATGTTTAGAGCACCTAAAAAGCTAATATGCTATGGTAAGTGTTCTACATTTTGACCTTGGAAAATAGGCTTTGAAATGACATTTTTCTCTATGCGATGAATCTGTATCATTTTCTTCTATAAAAGCTGCATTCCCCATAAAATAACAGCATGCATTGAAAATTCATATGTTTCTTACTGGCATTTTCTACTTCATGTTTTTGGACCATGGACCAACATGGTTAACTAAAATTACAAAGAGTAAAATTACAGGTAAGGGAAGATCACTCTATTAGATTCTTGTATAAGGAGTAAGCAGCTAAGAAAGAAGGCGCTTCTACTAAGTGTAAATGCTGTGTTGCATAGAAGGGAAAAAGGGCTCCAGCCTAGGATGTCTGAGGAAACTTCCAAGTGCTCACATCATGCTCCACTTCTAAGGAGAAAAAAGTTGAAAGAAGCAGGAGTGAGGTGAAGTTCAAGGCAGGGGAAGGAATGTCAGAAAAGCCATGAGCCTCCTGAGAGTTGCTATGATTACAGGCATTGAGCCACTAGCATAACTGGCTTGTTGATTTTTTTATGCTGCCTCAGAGAGGCCTTTTTGATTGTACTAGAAGTGACTTCCCCACTCATTTG